TATAGGGTAACGGCGGCGTCAACCCTTACAAAAAAGACCCGTTTCCTACCATGCTGCAATATAAATACTGTGTGTGCGTGTATACGATATCCTGGTTGCGACAGTTTCCATTACACCCTCATTATCACATTCACCCTCGCCACTTCTGTCTATAACCCCTCAACAGCTCTCTACCATAAGTTTTGTTCGTACACCTGTACACGTACATAATATGTATATAAATATATACATACGTAGTATATATAAATGTATACATAATATCGCCTACATTTTTACGTGTTTTTTTTTTATCTTTTTCTTGAACATGTTCTATTTTTAATTTATATATAGGTAATAAATTACCGTAGATATCATATGATCACAAGTGATTTTATACTAAGTATATAATAAGAATATAAGATTTTAAAATAATATATACGCGGTAGCAGATGTCATTTTCGGATACGCTCGATCGGTGTAATTAATTTTATTGCAACGTTTAGGAACGCATATATTAAACGTGCGTAACTCTTACAGTATAGGAATACAAGTGTATTTAATGTATATATTATGTACGATGTACATCAACGAGAACTTGTGAAATTCTACACCTGCTGTTTAACGAGATTAAATCTGATTTCAAACCGTCCTTAATACGTAACCAGCCCAGCCGAAAGTGTCTATATAATACGATAATACTGTATTTATATCGCTGTAATCTATACCTATAATAACTCACATATAATTTTAGGTACTGTTTGATTATCGTCGTTGCTAAACTGAATCGGTGAATTTCCACGACGACGCAGTCGGTGGGCACATGTATTATTATATTATCTCTAGAATATTTTTTCAACAAGATGCATTTAGATACTTTCATAATTTCGTATAATATTTCAAACATATGTTGTAGTCAGATATAAGCAATTTTTTGTCTATTTGTTTAATGAGAATTTACGTAGATCGATAAAAGAAAAACGTCTTGTTCACAAAAAATATAAAATAAATTCTAGTCCCTCTACTTATTCGCATTTTCCGGAACTTCTTTCTAAATTTAAATATTATTCCAAACGTTATCATGAATAATATTTAAATAATATTAAAAATAATTTGACTATCCGCCTTAAATAATTATTGAGCTACATAAAAGAGAGAAGTAATTGTAATTAGTTCCTACTTTAATGTCGTACTGTGATTCTAATTTTGATAGAAACTCAACCGTTCCAATGAATTAGCAGATTACTTTTCTTCCGTGTATATTAACTCTAGACTCATTAATACTAATAAGCCTCTTAATTTATCACCTAAATCCCCAATTAACTTCTCGTCTCTTTATATATCATTATCTAAGGTTTTTGAAGGTCTCTTAAATATTAGTCTAAATAGTTCTTACAGACCTGATAACTTATCTCCTATTATTTTATCTAAATGCTGTTATAATCTTCCTCGCTCAATTTATACTGTATTCAATACATCCTTTGGCCAAGATATTTTTCCTCGCATATGGAAATCTAACATTGTAATATTTATCTATAAATCCGATAACCGTAATAATATAAAGAACTACTGGCCAATTTATAAATTAAGCCCTATGCCAAAAATTTTTGAGAAATTAATTGAACCAAAACTATTTCATATTTTTTGCAATATTATAATTAACGAACAGCATTCCGGATCCATAAATCAACTTGTACTTATTTGTAAGTATATGTTACGGATTCGATATTGTAAAAAAAAAGGACAGATTGATGCTATACTGATCTTAGTTAAGCATTTTATTCGGTTGACCATATCTTGTTGTTGAATAAATTTTGTGCTCTCAGCGTTAGTGACCTTTTACTTTCATGGTTTGGTTCTTTAACTAGGACTTAAAAAGTTAAAATTTCTCGTATTTATTTAACAACCATTTAGGTGTCCTTCATGGTGGACATATATTTCTCTTACTATTTTTGTTGTTTATATTGTTTATAAACAGTTTAAATAATACGTTTCATCTCTGTAAATATTCTCTTTTTATCAATGATATAAAACTGTATATGACAATTAATTCTCCTGAAAAAGTTGCAAAACGATCTTGTTCATTTTACGAAATAGTGCGTAAATAACTATTTAAACATTAATGTTGATAAATGTACATAAATATCCTTTACTAGAAGTAAAGAAACGTTTATACTTTAATAACAACTACGAGCTTAAATAAATTTTCTTCCATCAAAGATCTATGCATCTTTCTATCTGCGGGCCTTTCATCCTCATACCATATTTCATTTATTTATAAAAAAGCGATGAACATATTAGGGTTCATCAGATGACAATGTCATGACTTTACAAATATTCAATTCTTACAAACCTTATATTACTTATAAATATCTATTTTTAAATAGAATAGAATACACAATTTCAAATAATCATCCTTTATGTCGGTGAAACTACCGAAATGCATTGTTTATGATTTTTCAGTAATAGTACCTACATAATTTTCAAATTTTAATAGTGTACTAATTTCTCCAATATTTAATATGAATATGAATATATATTATTTTGGTCTGACTATTTTCGTATTAAAGTTAAGATAATTATTTAAAAATATAAAAATAAAATATATATATTTTATATTATTATATATAATACCTATAGGTATTATGGTATACTTACTATGTTTTTGTATTTATTATTATAGAATACCGCATAAGAAAATATTACTACTAGAATATACGAGTGTAATAGAAACTTATGTTTTGTAACTATACTTGTCGAATATAAGTATACTATGCGTGTAACTGTTGACTTTAGTATACATACGTAATGTATTTATAATATATTACATTAAGGATAACTATTAGTACCATTAAAAAAAAATATAAAGCATTTGATATATATATATATATCCTTCAAGGACACTACCTATAGGTTGTAATACCTATGATCATGTACAGTATAAATCCTCTTTAATGAACTCGGACGTCATGCCAACGTGAACGCGCTAATATATTTTTAAAGCAATATTCTATTCAGCCGCTATTTCATTTGTAAATATAAATTACAACGCTCATCAGCAATTCCTCGATCTCATTTCAACAGAGTAAAATTTATTATTTTCGCATACGTATTAAAACTATAAACCGTTTCAACATAAACGTTGTAGGATTATAGACATTAACTTAAATTATATATGTGAATGTTTGTTAAGTATTTGTCACGTGTTTATAGTTAGCAAATAACACAATAGTTCGCACTTCGTTTTTATACTCTTTTATTTATATACATATATTTACAATACTGAACTAAATTTATATGGAATTATAAGTATCGGCACATTATACTCGTATATTGTACATGTGTAATCTAAACACTTTCATATAATATTACATTTTTTTTCGTAGTTATATTAAACGTACGTACATTTAATAGTTTTAAAATTTACTTTATTAAAAGATTTTATTTCATAATGTTATATATTGTATTAATTATATAATTGTTTACACATTTTTTAATGATCGCTGGATCGAAACAATATTAAAAATTATATTTGGCGTAACATATTAATTTCTTAGTTTTGTTTATTGTTGTTATAACCATCTTTTTGTACCAAATATTTAATACGTTATATTTCTATGATGTCAATCATCGGTATCTACAAAAGAAATAAATAGAAAATATACATATCACTATTACAAGTTTTATAATGATTTTTTTAATCCATTGTTGAGTTTGATTTATTCTTCTGTTAATATTGTGTATTTATTTTATTATAATTATTCAGTAAATACACGCTATCTATACAGCTATACTGGGGGGAGTGTATCACTCTTGTTTATATTAAAGACCGCAACCAATAAACCACATTTTATTGATCCGTTTTATTAAACAACAAAGAAGTACATAAAATCAAATATATTCCAAAGGGCTCGATGTAAGAGGGACTACGAGAAGATTAATAGAAATGACTTACCCACACCCTTATTGTATAGACGAAATAAATATTGTAAGCTATAATGTCAGAATATTTTATCAAACTGCATGCGCACACGCGCACATATATCTTATTACTTGTCATATAAAAGACATTATTATTATACATACGACTAGTCGTTGAACAGAATTATAGTATTTAAGTGTGCAATGACTCGTTACACTCTACATTACAGACAACCAACTAGTGCGCTATACCAGTAGTAATTTCTAACATTGTGTAGGTATATAATTATTTATACTTTTTTTTTCTGAAATCATTCAACTTAGTATCCACATATATTATATAATAATTATCGGATGTGTATTTAATATACATTATAAAGTAATTATATATTTATTATAATACGAATATTACACCTATACGCTGGGTGCTATAAATACGAACAATATCGTAGGTTCCCCATTGGTACTAAAACTACCATATATTATTATATATTTATGCATGCGAAAACTTTATTAAAATTCCAATTGATTATTTTTTTATGTTTCATAATTAATTCTTGTTTTTTTTATTTTTTTTTTTTTTATCGATATTGGAGAGACATTTTATACACCGGCATTTATAAGTTTTTTCGTTTCTCACAAAAACTGTTCAAGAAAAATAATATCACTTCATAATTTAGATTTATGTTTTCCGTATACGTTCATTATAAATTCGTGATTTTATCGTTACAGTCTACATCGTATATCTAAGTAGGTAAATCATTGTTTTTTCGAATGATACTTCTCGAACAGAAGACTAAATCGATTTGTGCATTATTAAATTTCACTGCGTTGATCCCATACGTTGATATTCGACAATAATAAATCAATGCTGTACGTAAACCGATTTGTGACTGTTAGGTCTAACGTGACCATTTGAGAAAATGTATCCACGAAGAAATAATAATCTGCGTTTCTCAGTATCCATGTAAACTAACGCGTCGATTATAATCGTCTACTTCTAGAAATTCGTAAATCGTCGTGCACTGAGCTCCGCCGTCGTTTTTGTACGCTGCAGCCCCGAGTAGCCTAACCTCTATCGATCCAATTTCACGCACCGCTCAATGTATACGTACTACATCGCCGGTGTGCCAAAATCACCGGACTTTGGTCATGTTGTACTCGTCGCCGACAATTTAAAACAATCCCTTCCCTACTGGTCGCACGAAGTCTGGGCGAAAACCGAAGAGGAATACCTAGCGTGGCAGCAACGGTTTTGCAGAGAACGAAATTGGACTTGCAACAAGAATCCGTTAGTGTGGAAACGCATAAGCAACTCGAACGGTCCATATCATTTGATCGGCGGAATAGACGAATTTTTCGAAATGCTCAAAGAAAACTATAACATCGATACGCGGTTGGACCGAAAACTAAAAATGAAAATGGCAAAGGACAACGAGAAGAAAATGAAGTTCATAATGGCCGCACGAGCGTCAACGGTGCAACGAGTAGCGCCGAGAGGAGTGTGTTTGACCGGCGCCGTTTACCCGTCGTCCTGTTACCTGGTATCTGAGCTGCTGCAATTGAAACAGTTGCACACCGACGGTGGCGTTTCGATATACTTACACAATTGCGATCCAAACAAGCGTGGTGACCTAAGAAAAATCAAAAACGAAATCGTTGACGCGGAATTCAACGTCCGTGGTCGCAAAGCCGTGACGGTGGTCAACAACGTCGAGGAATGTTTGTCGAAATGCGATTTACTCGTCGTGATGGGTGACAGGAACGGGGAAGACGACGAAAAGTCGGAGAAGCAACGGATGAACCGAAACTACAACGCGATGAGATCTTTGGCCTCCATACTCAACCGCCACTGCCCGGAGTTCTGCAAGGTGATACTGATGAACATGGACACGTTGTGTTTCAATCTGAGCGTGTTGGCCGAATACGCACACAACGTATACCTGTACAACATCGTCGGGGTGACCGGCCACTACGGTATGAAAGCGCTGCCAAACATTTCCGCGGCCACGGGCGTTCCGATTTCGGATCTACACTGTCCGCCGGTCTGGGGCTTCGTTGGCGCGAAGAAATACGTCGACTGGTACCACACTGTGTACCACCGCGACCGTGGTAAGTCGCCGGCACGTGGGGAGGCGCCCGACAGCGGAGACCATCAAACGTGTCACAAGTACTTGATGTCGAAGGCCGGTTACGACATGGACGAAGAGATTAACGGAGGCGACGAACGTAGTCCGGTCGTCGGATCGGAATTCCTTTCGAATTATTCGCCCGAAGTACGTGCGGCCGTGGCAATGATATCGGAATGGTTTCAAAGCGAGAACAAGACAATCAGCGCGGCGATATTTTCAGACGGAACGTTTGGCTTACCGTTCGGTATGTTCGTCTCTCAACAAGTTTATTTGGACAACGGTGAATGGAAACCGGACACGGATTTTTTACCACCCGATCGATACATATTGAAGGACATAGTGTCCAAAGCCATAGAGATAATTATTGAATATGATCTTGGGAAAAGATTTCATAAATACTCAAAATCACCTAGACTATGGTGGAAAACTGCCATCGACAAATTTTCTTAAACAGTTGTTTCGGTACTACCTTTTCGACTAATAATATTATTATTTGGATCAATATAAAATAATCGTTTTATAATCGTAAACCAAATTATTTAATTTCCAGTTAAAACTAATTATTATTTAATAATTATTGGTTTAGAAAATTATACTGATTACATTTAGGTTATGATTATTTAATTTAAAAATAAATAAATATAAGTTTACAAAAAAAAAAAAGCGTTTGATCGTGTATAACTCTGCACTAATAGCGGTACTAAAATTAATAGGCTTTGGGGACCTGCTGATATCTTGGTTTAGCTCATATTTTTTCAATGGAACACAATATGTAAAAACTAACGGTGTTTACTCTAAACTAGTGAATATAAAGTCAGGTGTCCTTCTAGGTAGGAATTGGTCTCCGATTCTCTTCTCTTTATTTGTAAACAGCGTTAAAAGTATACTAAAGCACTGACAATTACTCATGATTGCCGATAATATAAAATTTTTCCATCGAATCAGCATCTTTCAGGATTCCGTCCTTCTCCGAGAAGACCTCAACTCCTTGGTCACTTGGCCTGAAACCTATAGAATTAGATCTCTGTATCCCTAAACGCATTTTATAACATATTTTTGTTCTCATAGCTGTCCTATTCATTTAACTATTCTATATATCTGATGTACTTCTTGAATATGCGGGTGAATCCGTAAATTATTTGAGTATAACGTTTGATCGTTGACTTAAGTTTACAAAAAATGTCCTCAAAATGAGCATTTCATTTTGAGGACATTTTTTGTAAAGCCATTACAGAGAGATCTTGCTCAGAATTTATAAAACCAGTTGTCTACCTAGTTATTTTTTGTTAATTTGTTCGTTCTATATTTGAGTATAGAGCGGTGATTTGGTGTCCAAAAACCATAAGTAACAGATACTAAATTGAAAGAGTCCAGCACCAATTTCTCATGTGTCCATCTTTCGAGTTATCAATCAATTGTCCACCACTTTACTATAATTCAGTACTTTGCTACCTGGGCCTGATAGACGAGTTTAAATAAACCTATATTTTTTGTCAAAACTCATTGATGGTCGAATCAACTCACCTACTTGATGTCTTCCTCTTTTATTCTGTGAAATATTTGTAAAATAGTCCTTTATCACGAATGATGAGAATAGCGAACGAGGATCCGTCGTTTCTATCGTGGGACTAAACCAGTTTCTATTTATGTAATGTGTATCACTATAATGTTTTTTTTATAATCATACTGGTACGTACTTTAGCTTTAAGATTAATATCTAAATTTGTGTTGAGCTCCTCCCGTTTTATTTAAAATAAATAGTAATAAATAAAAATGTCTACTGGATGAAAAGTCTATAAATCACTGTATAATATTTATACTATCATACGTGAAATACGTGTATGGTCCGGCTTTGTAAAACGTACATCTAACTTGCTAGTACGAACGTTTTTGCACTTACTTTTATTATTAAATATGTCGAAAATGCATCGACCGTATAATGTTTGGTACATGAACCGCCATAAAACTAGTGTATGTATTAAATACATCAGTGACTGCAGTTTACGCATTATATTCGCGTGTACCCGAGTCAAGTGTTTTACATATATGTATATACTACATTACTACATTATTCTATGTAGTATAATTGTTACGATTTTGAAAATCCATTCCACGGCAATAACGGTAGTCGAACTATAAAGAACATTTTAGAAAACATATGGCAAACGTTTTTATTGGCTTCGCGCCCGATAACCAATTCGATTACATTGTGTGCATGTATGAGACTATTTCTAGAACGGGTGCCTCTATGCACGGTCACGAATTGGGATTAAGCTCGTGAAAACGAATGGTGTACCTATTCACTTTTTTTTTCTTCGTCATCAAGAAGTAAAAATAATAATTTTCTAAGCCCACGTACGTCTATTTGCTCGCGTATTATTGTCATGCACGATATATCCGATGAAATCTTTTGTCAAGCATAAAAAAAAACAGGCTTTCGCAATATTCCGTGTATTACATAATATCATGTATATACGCAAAATAAAAAAATTCTCATTGATCACTTTAAGTAGTCAACCACAAGTTTTTTTTATGTAAATTACTATATATTTTTATATAAATGGCTCTCATTCAGTCAATTTTTTTGTTTTAGAGCCATGATTAATTGGTCAAAATGTCTTAAAAAGTATATTCTTCAGTCTATCCGAATTCGGTACCAAAAATACTGGTTGCTATTAAAAAAAAAAAAAAAGTTGCATTCACATGCGCGTAACGAGAGGGTTAAAAATTGGATATTTATCTGAAAATTTGTATTTATATACCACTAGCTTGTAAAAAAAAATTCGAATTATTCCAACATAATTCAGTCGAGAAATTTAGTGTCCCCTAAATTGGTGAACACACGGTATTTATTATAATATTATACTCGTATTATATATATTGTTATATTATTATATGAACTGCAAGGAAAAAAAAAATGTTGAATCATTTTTGATTCGTTTGTAATCCGTATAAACAGCGATTTGCTTGTTATATTATGGTTGTTTCGAGTACAAAAAAAAAAAAAATCATTACCATTTAGTTAATCAACAATTGTAAAATTTGTTCAAATTGCAAACTGTAGATTGAAAACGATCAAAAACGGATAAAAACGGGTAAAAACGGCATGATTGTACGAGTGTAACCATGTACTATTTACAGTGTACACACGTATTTAGAATGATGAAAAGAATCAAAAAAATTGTTATTTTTAGCAGCGCAAATGCACTGGCACGACAGAACAGTTTTTGAAATCGAAACGAATGTGCGGTACTCATCGCTGCGCCGAACCAGTCATTATATATTGTTGGTACATTATAATAATCGACGTCGGTTTATTATACGTTTCCCGGCATAATATGTGTGTGCGTTATGTACATGGACGTGCCGTACACATACGTGCGCGAGTTTTTTCACGTAACGATGTTTTAAATTGGCTCTTCGTATTTCAATCAGTTTGCAGCACGTGTGTAAAATGAACGCGTTTTGTACACGACGAATTATAATTTATAACGCGCACGTATACACCAAAAGACCGATTTTATCACGCGTACAATTTCATGTAAAGTTTCCGGTTAATTTGTACTACGTATTGTGTACGGCCGATGATCAAAGATTTTGACAACTAGAGGAAAGAATATTTTTTTATATTCGTACGTTATTACAGCGCGATGTGATTTTGACTTTCGATGTTTCCATTGGGCGCGTATAGTTTCGTACGAGGTACTTATCCAAATAGCAAAGAAACCGAACGCGTATCGTACTGTAGAAATACCTAGTACGTCATATAATATTATTGTTATTATAGTATACAGCTATATTTTTGCGTCAGGCGAATACGAGTAATATTGCATTAGATAATTGTATGTAGAACGGTCAAAGAGTACGTTTAAAAATCGATGAAACGCATACTTAAATATTTATCAAACTCAAAATCATAGCCCAATAATGTACGAAATTGATTGAATATTCTATGCGTAAACTATGTATAAAAGTATAAACCGCATGTATTCCATACCGCATATTGCCGTACCTCTATGTGTACGTGGATTTTGGTTTCCTGTAGAAATTGACGCTGCTACACAAGCGCATGGCATAACACTAACAGTTTACAATGTAAACTATATACAGCTGCGAATGAGAAAAACACTTGTTATTTACTTATTTAAATAGAATATAGAAGTAAATGTTATTGGCTAATGGTAGTACATAGAATTTGTCTCCATCGTAAATGTTTTAAAATTTCACCACGGTTTACTGTCCGTTACAAACAGGGCCGAATTATGGTCATGACGGAGGCTATTTTTTTCTTTTGGTAAAGCCCTTTCACCAAAACAATTAAATTTGTTATTCATATTTAATAATTTGTAATAAATATTAATTAAAATAAGTATTGTATGTTGTAGTATAGTCACAATAAATTGACAAAACAGTATTTATACTTGTTAGCCAACGATTATAAAATCCGTTTTATTGATAACATAGAAAATATACATTTTATTCTTATATTGTTATACTTTTTTTCGTCAAAAAAATTATTTTATTTATAACTCGATGCCATTTCGATGAAAATAAATAAAATGAAAAAAAAGAGGAATAGACACATTGAAGCCACCCCTTCAAACTTGTGGCCCGAGGCAAAAGCCACCCTCCCTTGATTCATCCCTGATTACAAGTATCGTTATCCATTACATTGTCAAGTTGTTTTGTAAGACATTTAAACGTCAGAGTATCGATTATTAACAGCAAAACATTGTACACTGTACAAAATTTCGGATGGACACAAATATGATGCGGCACATAAACTAATAAAACGTAAAGTATTACGATTTCAAATCGTTGTGGACTGTAGTGTCCGCAGCTGCGTAAACAGTACACGACGAGTGATTACGCGACCGACGCGTTCCGTGGCAAAAACTGTGATCGTTGCGGGACTTTTAGGTGTTCGGCTCGATCCGATAGCTTCAATCAGCCGTCAGAGACATCGCAGTTCACGATTACACCGCAGACGAGACCGCATCGACAGGGAACACGTAATTTTTATCAATCAAAATCCAATTTTAACGCGAAGACGTATTCGTCCGTCTTTGGGACGCGTTCTCGCTTTCGTGGTTCTACACGCTTACGCGTACTCGTATGCACAGTACACGTACAGTTACGTTTACGCGTCTGAACGCGCAAGAAATAATGTATGAGATTGAAATCTCACTTGTCACGTTTAATTGGTCGACATCGAGCGCACGGTTCGGGCACAGTGCGCACACGCGTGTAGACGACGGATAAATAATTGTTAAACAACTTGTGTGTGTGCACGTATCGACGAAATAAATCTTTACTCCCCGCACCCCAGCCGCGTGCAATTCGATCGCGTCGGACCCGTTCCGACGACGAGTTCCCGCGCGATCGTCGACGCCGTGGTGGCGTCAGCGACAACTGGACGGGAAAACGCACACGCGTCGCGTACAAACCGG